TATATAAATATAATTCCAAAAGAGGTGTCTGCATTTTATTGTTACATTTTCAACACTTTATTTCCAGTTTTATCAACGGATGTTCAAACAAACATATGTAATGGTTGATTAGCAGTTCGGACATGCCCAGGGTTGCAGTAGTTGGTCCTACCATGCATGACGGTCAAGGTTTCCTATTTGGTGGCCAATTTCATAAGGTGAATATGATTGGTTATGCTTTTCCTATTCCCTTTCAGAACTTTCTCATTTGTGTAATTTCATACAAGTCATATTTTGCCTTACCTTATCGTTGATGAGAAGTTCCATGGGGTTGTGGCCCCATTCCAGCAGTACAATTTCATTTGGTTGGCCATGGACAGAATAGGAAAAAGGAGTGCCTGACCCTGAGGTTGTCTTGGATTTCAGCCACAGGCATATAGTGAAAGCATAGAGCTCTGGAAGAGTCTTTTTCATACGTCCATACATGTAGTTGGTACGTACTGGAAAACTAAGCTTGAAGTTCTCTGGATGATAACCAGGGTAACCTGAAAGTAAAATAAAGACAGCTCAAATATTTAAAGACTACAATTGTATTAGTTAAAATGACCCTGTTTTTAGCTCGCAGAAATGAAAGCAGCATAACCCTGTTAAAGAAAGTTTATACCTACCCTTCCAGCAAATAGCGAGTTAAATTTTCACTCTTTATGAGCTCCAGGTGTTGCTGCTATATAACACTTTTGGGTGTGCCAGACAGTGTCCCCCCGTCGACCCCTACATCACCACAGGTGAGAGCAGTGACAAAGGGGTTGGCAGTGGGAACAAGAATGATACCAGAGCTCCAGAGAGTGAAGATTTCCCTCACCACCCACCGATAGGTATAAACCCTTTTCTTTTAGAAGGTTATCCTAGTCCCCCTATTAGCAGTTTGCCACAGGGTCATTTTAAGGGCTCCCGCCAAAGCAAATAATCTTTGAAAATTGCATGTGTATCCATAAAGCCATTGTAAGCTTATAGCAAGTACGTTCCTCCAAAATCCTCACATCTCTTTCAATTCATATTCTCTACTCATGTAGCTTTGCCAGTCTGAGTGGATAAAATGGAATTGTAGGGGCTGATTATTTCAATTGGAAAAAAAAATATTTCCATAGCACTACAGCACTATCAACTAAAAGAATACTGCCCATAGCACTATAAAGCTGCCCATACACCTTGCGATCATCGGACAAAACTTTTCGTACGATGATCGAACCGTCGTACGATTTTAATACGGCGGGCCCATCCTGCCCCAACCATCACAGAGTTCAATCAGCTGTAATTTTGTAAAAAGCACCTCGACGAATTGCGTTAATCGCTTGTATTTTCGTTTGCGCATGAGCAGTGTAAATCGTACAAACCTTGCGAAAATCATACGATCGACCAATGTTTTCTAACCTGATGGTTAATCAAAAGTCGATCGATGTGTTGCGATATATCTTAGTGGACTTTTTCAGACACACATAGATTTGCAATAGAGACTGAGATTTTGTTTGTTTGTTGATAGAGAGCTGAGTTCACACAATGGAAGGTGCCATCTAAACGGACTACTGATGGCAATTTATGATACAACGCTGCCTAGAGGTTGGAAAGTGAAATGCATGGCAATTCATTTTCCTGAAAGGGGCAGGGCGCTTCCAAGTGGTAGGCCAGTTTTCTCTCAATAAAAAGCGAGTAGCTGAAAGGTGGAGGAGCACTTCACAAGACGAGGGCTTCACAGGAGGGGACAGTACGAGGGGGCTCCACAAGACGAGAGGACTTGCTTCAAGACCAAGACATACAAAGGATTTAGCAGAGACTGCAACGAGAAGCCATTTTCCTAGGCCAAGAAGTCCTGCTCATCACGGAATTTGTGGAGCCTGCAGCCTGAGCTAAGTACATTTTCAGTGTTTCCCCTCCTAGAAAGAATTACATTTGGGGGCTCGGTCCTGGATTGCAGTGAACTCAACTGAAGCAGACTTGTCTTTAGGTTTTGTACTATATCCAAGTTGAGGCGTGTTAGCCAGGATTTGTACTAAACCCAGTTGTAAAAGACCTGTGTTTTCTGTAGTGTTTTCTGCTTGTGCTGGGGAAAATGCTACGTAAATTGTTTAGCAAAAGCAAGACTGTAGATGTTTCTGGTGTCCAGGAGGGGGCGTGCAACCTGCCTGCTTGGGCTAGCAAGGCTGCAGATGTTTCTGGTGTCCAGGAGGGGGCGTGCAACCTGCCTGCTTGGGCCAGAGATAGTCAGTGGATGCCTTTTGCTAAGGAATTAGCTAAGTCATGGAGTGGTAGCCTTGCTGGCCTGCTTGGGCCAGCAAGGCTGCAGATGTTTCTGGTGTCCAGGAGGGGGCGTGCAACCTGCCTGCTTGGGCCAGAGATAGTCAGTGGATGCCTTTTGCTAAGGAATTAGCTAAGTCATGGAGTGGTAGAATTTCAGATGATTTAGCAAATTTTACCTTTTGATACATTTTGTTTGAGCAAAGCAGAGAAGAAGGCAGTGTCCTTGGCTGGTACTTCCTTAATGCTCTCTCTACTGAAACAGAAAGAAGGGAGAAAGCAGAGGCAGAGGTTAAGGCGTTAAAAGACCACCTAGAAGTTGTCTCGGCGTGTGTACGTTCAACTGCTAGTCGGGCCGATGATTTGGAAGAGCGGTGTGCAGCCCTCATGACCAAATCAATTAATGCCTTAAGGAAAAATAAAGGCCGTAGACCTGTTAGCAAAGCCAGGGTGCGTGCCATTGTCACATCCCATAACTGGGATCGTGAGGATGCGTTCTCAGGTGATAGTGAGGATGAGGAGATTGCATTTGATATTACTGATGATGTTGATCACTCAGGGGGAAAGAAAAAGTGTGCCAGACCTCTTATTACTAAGCATAGGAAGAGGTAACATGATAGGGCAGATTTTGCTGATGGGGAGGTGCATTACTGCAACCCCAGAGATGTTGAAATTGAAGAATTAAGAAAGTTTACACAAACTGAACTCCAAGAACTGGCAAAACAATACAAGCAGAGGTCCGGGGAACCCCTATTAAGTTGGCTCCTACGTTTGTGGGATGATGGGGCGGACAGTGTTCTTTTGTCAGGCAAGGAAGCAGTGGCTATGGGAGAGTTAACCCATGATCCACAATTGCGCCAGGCCATGCGTAAGGCCCGAGAGTTTACTTTGATTTTGTCACCGTTAGACCTTGTGAGAGATAGGTTAGTCAGGGTATATGCTAATCCTAGTGACCTGGAAAATGCCTCCTCTTGGAGAACAATGAGAGAGGGTATTGCCAGGTTACATGAGATGGGCTGTATAACTGGACTAACTAAGATACCGGAATGGATGGGTCCAGATATGGAACTGTTCACGTCTGCTCTGCGCTCCAAGCTGATGAGGTCTGCGCCGTTTAATCTCAGGAAAAATTGAGAGTTTTACCCCATGTGTGGCTCTCGTCACAGGTAGGGGGAAATGTGGGGGAGAGAGGCAGTACTTGGTGGGTTCACGGGTTGTCACTTGTGGTGTGATAAGTATAGATATAGGGGGGTGGGGGAGGTTGTGCGGCTTCCGTTCTGTTTGGACCGAGGTGTCCAACAAGTGTGCTGTAGGGAAACAAAAAAATTGGAGACGGAAGCGCAATAAATGTGGTAGAGCAGGGTGTAAGCGTAAGTGATGTACTCACCTATGGCTGGGTGAGCATTCGCTTGTAATCGTTGGGTTGAGGTGAAGCAGATGGAGTGGAGTAGTAGTGGGAACGGTCCCTCTTTTCCAGGGTGGTGTAGCGATTAAACCCAAAAGGCAGATGGAGACACAAAAGCGAGGGGGTGAAGTATGCAATGGTGGGTGAAGAAGGGGTGGGCTTCTGTAACTCACCGTGGGGATAGTGAAGAACGGCTCTCAGCGATGACGGTGCGGCCAGTGTTGTGCCTAAGCAGTGGGCCGTGGGGTGGTCCTCAGGAAGATTGCTGGCACAGGTGTCCTCTGGTGGCAGGTGCTGGGGAGCGGTGGAGTGAAGTGTTGTCCTGGACGGGGGGACTGGAGAGCGGTGGAGACGCCGGGGTGACAGAGTGCTCAGCCGCAGTGGAGATAGACTCACGCTGGGGCTTCCTGACAGCCCGGTGGAACTGTGACCTGCAGGCGTTTGCTGGGGAAGCCTGCAGTGCGGGTGTTGCGGCGCGAGCCGTGAAGAGTGGGTCAGAGGTTGACGTTCCGGGGGGTGGAGCCCGATGTCCAGGAGCGGTTACCTTGAGTGGTGTCTGCAGACGGGTGGAGTGTTGGAGACACTCTGAAGATCAGTTGAGACCGGATTGGGCTGACGGCGACGCGTTTCGAAGGTGAAACCTTCTTTTTCAAGCCGATGTGAAGGAATGATGCTGGCGGGAAGCTGAGGTTTTGAACAAAGGGGTGAGGGAGGGGTCGGAGGCTGTGGGTGGAGTTGAGAGGATGTGGTTGGGCCGAGAGGAAGTGGGTAGAGCTGGAGACCGGGGCGGGTGGGCGTGGTGAAGGCCCGGCTTGGTGTAATGAGAAACACTGAGGCCGTGCGAAGAAGGGGGAGGAGTTTTGAAGAGGAAAGGACGGGTCACGGGCAATGTCAAATACATTGAGGAATAAGTGGTGCTTTTAGTAGGTGCCCACGTGAGAGTTGAAGATGTGAAGTGGATAATGGGAAGGGGGTTTGTGAAGGGAGGGGGGGGCAAATAATGACATACATAAGGAGTGAAAATGATAATTGGATAAATTGAATAAATTAAAGGGTAACCCAATGGTATGAGGATTCCCAGGAGTAATGGCGTAAAGTTTCGATGAGATGCCCGGAGTCTCTAAGGTAGGACGGTAGTGTGGTAACAATAGGTTGTAGGAAATGGTCCACATAGCGGGAAAGGCCACTGGTGAGGCATTTAATGCTGGATATTATGGGGCGGCCGGGAGGTGTGGTGCTGTTTTTGTGGATCTTGGGCAGGTGGTAAAAGAAGGGAGTATTGGGTTGTGGAGGGCAAAGGAACAATTTTTCTTTTTTGGTGATGATTTTTTCATGAAAGGCTTTGTCGGTGAGGGTTTTGAGGGAGGAGAGGAATTGGGGTAAGGGGTCAGCATGTAATTTTTGGTAGGTGTTGGTGTCAGACAAGAGGCGTAGGGCCTCTTTGATTTAGTCCTCGTGGTTTTGTATGATTATGCCCCCTCCTTTGTCTGCTTGTTGAATGACAATCTGTTTGTTGTTGGTCAATTCTTTGAGTGCTTTATGCTTTGATTTGGAAAGCTTAGCTTTTTTGGTGGACTTGAGGTGGTTTTTGGTCATTCTCCCACTGATCTGTGGGGTGTCGCATAGTTTTACAAAATCGGTGTAGGTGACCTGGTAAAAAGTCTCTAAGTAAGGTCCTTTGGATTTCCGTGGGTAAAAACTCGAGGGGGGGTGGAGGGGGGTGTGTATGAAGGTGGGACTGGAAAGGTTGTTGAGTAGGAGTTCGCAGGGATAATTCGGGTCCGCCAATTCTTCGAGTATGGCCAGCACCTCGGTGTCTGGCTCCATGACCGGGGATGTGGGGGGCGG